GACGTCGCTCCCTCGTCCACCGTCGGAACCTCCTCAGCTATCCTGTCGCTTTCGCGTGGCCTGATTTCTTCTCGTACCAGGGCGAGAACGAATTCGGCCTCGGGCATGGCTTCACAGCCGTCCCAATTATTTTCCGAAACAACCACGGGCCGTTGTGGTGCCCAGAACGCCGCGGCCTCCTCGAACGCCGGCCCCGTCGACAGGTACTGCGCGGTCTACGAGAACCGTGGGTAGCCCTACTTCTGGCCCGCTGCCTTCTTCGGCGCCGGCTGAATTGCCGCCGCCGCCGCCGCCCGCGCCTGCTGCCGCCACCCCGGCGCCACCGCCGCCCGCAGCGCTCATACCGCCAGTGTTGTCGCCCGCGGGTACTAGCCCTGCGACTTCCGTGGTGCCGCCCACGGCCGCTGAGGAAGCTCACCTCCGCGACTGTGTGCATACATTCTCACATGCCGATTGGGCCCGAGAACAGCTGTCCGAAAGTGAGTGTGTAGCGGCTATACATTTTTCGTCTTTGGGATCCCCGGCGGTTTTGCCGGATACATTCTGGGATTGCTTGCCCTGTGCGCGGCGGCCGGCGTTGTCTGATGTTGTCGCCCTCGCATCTAAAACATGCCTACACACCAGACGATGGTACGCGATTGTTGGTGCGAAATTCTGCCCCACTGCCTCTCGGTAGTTCGGGCGGGCGTATCACTCGCCTCCCGCCTTCGAAGACTCCGCGCATATACGTGCCTATGCTATTGCGACCTTGGGTCCTACAAGCATGTCACGCCACCGCGTCTTTTCACCTGGGCACCGCTCGGACTGTACGTATGTTGGAGCGATTTTTCTGGTGGATTGGAATGGACTTGTCCGTTCGTTGGTGGCTTCGGCATTGTTTAACTTGCCAAGCGCGCAAGACTTCCCGGCAAACGTACCGCTGGCCTACGCTCACTCTGCCCCTCCCGAACGGGCCGGGTATTGTAGTGAGCGTCGATTTTTTTGGGCCATTGCCGGTCACGTCCCGTGGGAATGCATATATACTTTTGTTTACGGACCGTTTCAGTCGACGGGCGGATATGTATGCCACTACCAAGGCGGAATTTACAGCTAAGGGAACGGCTAACATTTTCGTCAACCGCTACATGGCGTTGTGGGGTTGTCCTGTGACTCTTCTTTCGGATAACGGTATGCAATTTTGTTCCAAGTTGTCCATGGCTATTTACGAGCTGATGAAGATCAAGAAAGTCACCACCAGTTCGTACCACCCCCAAACTAACGGTGGGGCCGAGCGTGTTAACCACACCATGGCTCAAATGCTTGCTGTTGTGGTCAATGAGCGTCAGGACGATTGGGACGTCCATCTTCCCCATGTCGAGTTTGCATACAACAACTCGGTAAACACCGCCACAGGTTTGGCGCCAAATGAAGTGCATATTGGACGGTTGCCCCGTCTCCCGCTTTCTGTTTTGGACCACCCTAGCGTGGGTGGCCATCAAAGTTTGGATCGAGACCAGCTCGCGTTCTGCAATCTTGCGGTGGAACGCCAGAGAAGAGCTTACGCGTTGGTGCGGGAACAACATGCGATTACGGTGTCGCGTGTCGAACGTCGTAACTCTGCACTGTTGGACGGTCTGCGTCAGATCCCGAAGTACGAAGTTGGTGGTTGGGCTTGGGTCTACAACTCTGCCGCTACTATTCGGCAGGGTGTGCGGAAACACACCGATGATTAGGTGCTCAAAGCGAAGCTTTCGCTCAACTACACCGGACCGTATAAAATCCTTGCTGTTGGCCCGGCCAAAGCGGAGGATTCACCGGATGGAAAACCTGTGGAGCGCAAACTTCTCTACTTGGACTTGCCGTCAGACATGCTGGGACCAGAATCTCGCAACCGTGTCTCAGTCTTGCGGTGCAAACCGTGTACCAACCCATACGACACGGATGACCTGCTTAGTATATGCCGGCCAATCTGTCGAAATATGTTTTGCACTCGTATAGTAACAAGTCTCCCCCGTATAATTTGACTGCCGATGATATTTTAGCGGGGTCTAGTCGTCTGGATGTTGAGAATATTTCAGGACACCAAATTGTACGTGGAAGCGGTGGCGTGGTAGCTGTCTTGTACCTGACTCATTGGATTGGTTTGTTGACCCCGTCGTGGGAAAGGGAGTCTGATTTGCAGGAATACAGAAAACATATTCTGCTTTACTGGTCTGGTAACGCTAGTCAGCGCGTACAAGGAAACCGAGCTTATCGAAATGCTCGGATAGCTTCGGCCGACCGAGAACTTGCTCGGAATCAGGCCGAACGTTTCATTGCTCCCGGGTACGAGTTGGTTTCGCGTGACACTTGGTTGGTTCGCTTCTCTGTTTCTGTTTTGCCTGTCGGAGCCCACATTTGGTACAAAGCTTTGGATGGACTTTGGTGGCTTGGGCAGATAGTAGTTTCGTGACAGGCCAGTACATTGTTCGATCTTTGGACACCCCCGGCCCTCGGAAGCTTTCTCTCCCGGAGTATACAATAGTTACTCCACGGTTTTGGATGCTCCTTGTGGTTCTTGGTGCTTGCAAAAACACCGTACTCGTCGTGGTTTGACCAACCCTTCCACGGATGATGGCGTTACGTCGCGAACGCCAGGCGTTGTGGCACAGCTGGCTGTTGCCCCATCTGGATCTGTGCTTTGATTTCATGCCGCCTACGGGCCGCTACATGTTTTTTATGTTTTGTTCTAAATTACATCGTACGCAGTGGTACGCTAGCGCGTGTTTGGGTGGTGTGAGCTTCTTCTATTGTTGCAATAGCCACCCCGACCTTTGCGTGCCCAACGCGACCGAATCCCACTTTGATTCAGATTGGTTACGTCGTTGGCGATGTGATTCTCAGTAGTCATCACTGTGGTGTGGGGATGGTTTGGAGTAGTTGTCGGGGATGAACTAGTTCCTCCGACCCTAGTTGCTTTTATTTTATCTTATTTTGTCTGATTTGGAAAGCCGCATCTTCGATCTTTATGTGAGGTTGAGTATTGGATTGAAGATAAAGTATCTGCATCTACGACTTCCCAGGGTAGGCTAATGTAATGAAGCAACTAGTGTATTTGCATTGTACGAGCGTTTCATGAACGTTGTATGAGCGCTTATTGGATATTTTAAATTTTCTTTGGATATGGATATTTGGCGACGTTGAGGGGTATTGAAGTAGCTTGAAGGAAGATCAAAATCCCAGCCCCGCTCCCTCACTCTCCGAGTGGGCGCTGAGCGGACCTGGTCTAAGAAGGCTAAAACAAGAGATCAAACAACAACTGTGAGTACCCGAAGCCAGGAGCAACGAACTTGCTCCCTTCCCTCTTTTATTTCTCTGTTCCTCCATAACACATTTCGTCGAATGTTCCGAATTTCCTCCAAGTTAGTCAGAATTTAGTCTGTAAAGTATACGGATAACGCGCAACACGCAGAACTAGCAAGATCTCGCAGACGAAGACGTGCTGGAATCTTAACGAAACGTCGACGTCGCAATGCAAACAATAACACACCACACGACTCAGACCCTGAACTCGATATGATACGTCAACATTTTAGCCAAATGAGGAATCGTGCATCAAGGTTACCGGCACCGAGTCTAGACAGCCATCGCGGTGATTCTAATAACCAAATACGCCTTCGAGTGCAAGACATTGACTCGCAATCGGCACGCCTTTCGAGCTAAAACACACGGAATTGGATGATCCACAAAATATCACATGTTCTCACTGCAATGCTCAACTTTGGAAAAAAGAAAAAAGATTAAATCGTTGTCACAAAGGCAAGTCGTATATTCATCCTCTCAAATCTATCCCCCACCATCTTATGGCGCTGTTTGAAACTACTAAATTCATTTCTGCTCAAATAAGGTACAACGGGTTTTTCGGATTTACTGTATGCATTAGGCGCAGGTGGTATTCAAAAAAAGACATGGACTGAACCGCCAGCCCCTTCAATGCTCACCTTGCATGGACGTGCTTACCACCGCATATTCGACCTCCATCAACATTCATTATGAGAACTATTCCGTGTCGAAAAGAGTCGAGGTTTTACATATACGATTCTGAATTCACACAGAACATTTCATCCCTTAAATTAGACGCAAACATCGCGACAACTTTACGAACGCATGTGCACAACAACATTCCGTGGGCACAACAATACCGATCTGCTGTACATAGCATTATTAATCAACCTAACGCCCACAGCGCTGAACCCGCGGACCCTGCGTACATTGAGTTCGCTGAAGTAAGCCGAACAAACGACGGACCCGTTGTAGGTGAAAAGTTTCAGCACCGGAAATTGCAGCTTTAGTCTTCACATCAGTTCAGGAAAACAGCGGATCACGTTGCTGTAGTAACTCATCCACGTGACAGTCCTGACGACAAGCCTAGGTTCCTGCCCCTGTGGAGTGCAGCGTACGAAACTCTTCAGTTTCCGATGCTAATGCTCCACGGCTTCGTTCTTACCGGCGCAATAAAAGAGAGGCGACCGTAGCTTACATCTCTTTTTCGTTCGCACCGGGCGAAGCTAGACAAAAATTCACGTACACGCGACTCTTTTGGCTTCATGTTACACCGGGAACGGCACATTTCTCAAATACAACGCGAACATCTTCACACCGCTCATTCGGCCACCCTGCGGCTTCATGCTCTTGGTATGCAGTGCACAGCCTTCACACCTTCCCTTTAAGCCTACTACTGAGGACGAGGGCGCCTCTGCGCCCGAAGTCCGGAGCCCTTGTATATATAACATGATTTGACCGCACTAGCTGGGGTTGCGTCACCACAAATAAATTCAAGCCGCAACTAAAATTAAATGGAATTGTGCGTCCTAAGCAAGCCCTCTGTTTTTACCCCGCAATGTTGACCAGGTGCAAGATCGACATCATATGTGGTATGTATTCTGACGTTGGGTCTCAAGCTTCTTCCGTGTTTCGGATCCCATAAATATCTGACAATATGCAGAATATGCTCACAACATAAGCCCCGTGCCAACCAGATACTATTCGTCTGAACTAGATATAGACCATAGAGATACAGAGATAACGTGAGAAACAATAACAACGAACGGTGGTATCACACAAAAAGCAGTCCATACCTGAAAGTTAACGTCACGGGGTCGAAGGGGAGGTCGGCGAGAAGCTGGCTGTTCTGCCGCTTCATCTGGGCAACCGGTGCGTTGAACGCCTTGGCGTCCTCTGCTTTTGTTTGGCAGTAGCCAGGACAAGAAAAAAGTTATCATCGGTTGCAATCAGTTGATCGTCAGTTGAGGACGAAAAAATGCCCTCTCGGGAGCGAATAACCGGCAACGCGAGAGCAAAAACATGGTGTTTGTTGCGGCAGGCAGGCGAAGACAAAGAACGACAGGAAGACAACACCACACACGCACTGGAAGGGGATACGAGCATTTGTGGCCTTTATGGTTTCTACTCAAGAGGTGTTGTTCGAGCAAGTTTAAAGCATCGTAAAAAGGTGTCAATGTCGTAAATTGCTAGAACTAAAGTGTTGGTTAGTCTGTGATTGAGTTGTGAGTGCGCACACATGATGGACGAACCGTGTGGTTTTGTGTGTCTGGCATATCATACGATTGTGCTATAATGAGATGACTTGAATGCTTTATCCATGAGAATCTTACCCGCAAGTCGTCGGACAATAGTCTTACCGTACTGTTCTGCAGTACCAAAAAGCTGTTACACGACAGCGGTTCCGCGCGCTCACACAAAGAAAGAAGAAATGGGTTGTACATTTTTGGGCGATGTTTTGACCTCGGTCATGACAGGTCATCGACAAGCAAGCAAAAATGGCCGGTCATGACCGACCAAATTATTGCAGGTCATGAAAAGGTCAGGACAGGGCACGACCGAGCAAAAGTTGTCGTCCAACAACGTACAGCATTGAAAGAAATCGACTTTGTTCGTTATTTTCTTCCTGATGCACCTGCCGACAGCCTGTCTGTTTCCTGATCCTCCCCGGTTGCGGTTGGGACGATAGGCGCGCTGTCCGAACTGTCGAAGTGTATGTAGTGGTAGGCCAGCGAGGTCACCCTGTTAAAGTAATCACACACAAGCACACGGGTCGTGAAAAAATCACGCAGGTAGGCAGCAAGACACACAGATGCGGCAACAGCAGAACAATCGCCCCTCGCGTCCCAACGTGATCAAAGATTTCGTATGACACGAAGCAAATAACACCAACGAATACGGCAGCAAACACCACCCTTGTCAAGAGCAACAACACAAGAGAGAGTGGAATGACCGACAAGAGAGCACGGCTCCGAAAAAACGACAGCCTCACTCACATGACACACAGCAAGAACTCCACCACCAGAAACGCGATACCGCCCCACACGTACAGCGGGTCGCGCGCGAAGCCGTAGGCCTTGATTAAGGTCTGCAGAAGCAAAGAGAAACTTCTGAGCGAACGGGGATGATAAATGGTGTTTCGAGGCGTGTTGCAAGTTCGCGGAGCCACACATGCGTTCATATAGGTGTTCTCATTTTGCTCCTGCGCGCCGGAGAGAAAGGGGTGCCGTTTCCAAACACGTACAGCTTGTCGATATCATTACAAACAATTCAGTCAAGAGAAAAATTGTTATCTGCAGCATTTTAAGGGAAACAACTACGAAGTATAAGTGAGGATCAGCCGCCCCGCACAGGTGGGGCTGCAGGGAAACAGACGCCGAGGCGAGAGACAGAAATATCTCGGTCCCTTGAGTGAGTCTGCTGGTTTGACTTCAAGGAATATTTCAAAGGGAAGAACGATATGTAGCTCGATCTCTCCGGGTCGGCTTACAGAAAACGACAATAACCGTGCGCTCCGTTCGGTTGAGGTAGCATACATTGCGCTGCCATTCATGATACCGACCGAGTACAACCCGCGCCTCCTGAAAAAAAGAGGCAAGCAAGAAACTCTGATGCGTCCGCCTAGCCGCAACTGCCGAGGCCAAACACGAACGCGCCTGCGCACCTCTCCGAGTCCCAGGTCACAGCTTTCAGCATCCCCGACACAGACTTCATACTCGGGGGTTTGGAACTCGTTCAGCACGGCCGCTCGGAAAGCCCACGTGAGAGGGTTGGCGTGGAAGAGCTGCACGCAGACACGTACAAAATGTGTTTTTGGAAAGAGGTGCGGCGAATGGGGGCGAAGTCCAAGTTGGAGTGGCACACTTGCGACTTATAGCTAGACTATGCTGTGACAAAATGCGGTGCTCAAGACAATCGGGTCGCAGCCATGGAAAAAAGGAAGAACAATCACGTCGCAGTCAGCCCAGGCAGAGCTCACGAAAGGGGGCTGAGCTGGCGAGAAAACGAGAAAAACACATAAGCATGGCTGCAAAATAGGACTCTATCCATGAGAGAACCGCACGGTGATCGCTGTGTAGGGCAAAATGATTTCTTACCCAGATCCACCAACCCGGAATGTTGTCCGCCGGGATCAAGAAGCCACAGAAAAGCACGCACAGCAGGAGGCTCAGCCCAGAAACGCCCTGGAGAGAGAACAGAGAGAGAGAGAGAGAGAAGTCAACGGACGGACGCGGCGGGCGAGCAGGCAGCGTTTGCCTCGCGTTCTCAGTGCGTATTGCCAGAAAGGGCGTTTGAACACTCGCGCCATCCAGCTGTCCTGACCTACACCTACCTTGGACAAGTGCTATACGTACATCCGCAAGACCACAGGTGCTCACGAACGCTACGGGTGCTCACGAACACTCAACAAAGCAACAGGGCGATCGGTCTTACCCCTGCAACGGTGTCGTCCGGCATACAGGCGGCCAGAAGCCGGAAGTACTGGCTCATATTCACGTTCGCCATGACCACTTAAATTGAATATGTTTTCGTCGGTTCCGTAGACGATGTGGACGCATCTCGGAATAGCGTTCGTGCGCGTACGTTGCGCCGACCGCGGGCGAGCGGGAGGGGGGAAGGAGGGAAGGCAGCAGTCAGGGGACTGGCGAAGATCTCACAGAAGCCTACGGGAAATGGAAGTGATCGTTGCTGTTGGAGTAATCTTGGCATAGCGAACCATCCTCTCAATCTTCTGTGCTGGTCCGACAAGACCCGCGCATGGAGAGTAGAGGGGCCAAATCACCCTATAAATCGAACGCACCACACGGGAGATAAGCTGTGCTATCAGTACGATCGCCAACCAATACCTATAACCATGAAGGTGAAGAAATTCCAGCCGCTGTTGGATGAGCTGAACCCGGCAAGGAAGTACACTACGGGGGCAAACAGGATGGAGCAGGCGATCTGCGAGAACACGTAAAGTGACCGTTGCCAGGTTGGTTGATGCGGCAGGGCAGGCACCGGGGCGGGGTGGCCACTGTTGGCTGAGATGGGCGAACTCGGATCGCAAGAACTCATCGCGGGGGGTAATAGGATATAGCAGCGGGGCCGCGACAACCGCCCTTACCATACTCATCGCTTGTAGTCTTGAGACCACTGACCACGCAAAATCATTTGCAGTATAGTGTTGTACAAAATACCAATTCTAAGCTATCACAAACAGTCTCATCCTCGACGTTACACGATTTAAGAAAATGTCGACTTTCGAAGTCTACGCTCCACTCCGTGTGGCATCTTTTGCGGGCGGGCATGCGCCCTGAACGAGAGCGGCGCATCGTGTATCCAGCTAAATACCATGTAGGCGGCGTGGCCGAACACGAACATGAACAAAGACGACGAACGCCGTCGGGCATGCACGACCGTGTTTGCACAGAGCAGTCCTCTGCATCCGTGCGGGTTCTTGGCCGCAAGCTTCGGTGTGTGCGGGTTCAGGCGAACGTTTGCTGTTCTTTAGGATAGCTTGCGGCCACGAACGGCGCGTTTTCGACGAAATTCGAATCAGGACTGGCAGTGACGTGCCGCATGATTTGATCGCCCAAACGGGGTCGACCTCAAAGCAACAGAAACATGAACAACAGCAGCAGCCAACACCAATCTGCACTCACGGTCAAACTCGTGTTGACCGTCGTCTCCGCGATAACCACGCACGACGTGGGGTAGAAGCCAGCTGCCTTTTGCTTGTAGAAAATCCCCCTCTGCATGATGGCGGGGGTGATCTGGGGCGGAGGCGACGCCGTGTTGCAACAGAACAAACCGATGAGTCGAACCATCATTACACAAGCAAGGCATCAAATCCTGAACGGATACGGCGAGAGGAGAGACACGCACTCGTACAAAGAGATGAACAAGCGCGCCCAGCCGGCAAGACAAGGCACGCCGGGCAAACACAAAGCTCTAGGCTGTGCAAGACACCACCAGCCACAAATCCAAACCGCGCTCGAATCAGCCCGAAGTGACAAACCTGATTCATCCCGTTGGTTGAGAGGTAGAGCAGGGAGAAGAAGATGAGACCGAACTTGGCGTTGGCGTCGTCGAGGTCAAGCTGGAAGAAAATCGACCCAACGACAGCTCCTGCGGGACGCAAGAACGGCACCCATTTCAAAAACGAAGCAAGGTATGTCGTACGCAGAACCCCATAGGATACCGCACCCACTTCCGGGTCAGCCGGTTATCCGTCTTTGCTTCCGAGCCGATTTCGGTGTGGTTGTGGTTAGAGCGAACCGCGTACAAGTCAGCAGCAGTCAGTAACTCACTCTGGTCGGCGTGAAGTTTCTTCGAAAAACAAGAGGTGTCAGCTGTGACAGGAAAAATTGACTCGCTCCTGGCATCACAGAAAAAATCGACAAATCGACAAATCGAGAAGCAGCATCCATCTGGTTTCGAAAAAGTCAGGGACATAACCGCCAACGAAAGAGACTAATAAAACAAATCGAGTGATGCCCAGCGTTGGGGGCCAGGCCCCAAAGCGTGACCAATCAAAGACACCCCGAGCGGTGGGGGAGCATCCGCAGTGGCCAGCAGCCTGCGTGGAATTTGGACGACGTGACAACTGCAAGGAAAACAAGGAAGAAACGTCATGAAGCCGGTCTCGTCAGGCCGGAAGTTTCTTCCATCGCACCTCACCTTCTAAATCTCTCGTCATATCAATCTGTCAGAGACATCTCCGCCCACAGAGAGGTGGGACTTGCAGCAGCAGAACCACAGCCCTGAGTTACAGACTCTATATTATTCCAAGTCACGGCCTCGCACGGCTATCAACGCGACCGGCCTCACGTACCTATGAGAGGTCCGCTCATGAGCTGGGTCTTGATGTTCCCCTTGTCTTTCAGCATCAGCATCGCCGCCCTTTTGAAGCACACCTTCTGGTGGTACAAGAAAGATCCCGGGTACTCGCTCTTGTACACCGTCGGCCACTCGGAGCTGTCGTTCTCTCCCGGCGTGTCCACCGCCTAGTGATTGTGAGTTTGGTTGTAAATTATTCTTCCACTTAATCACGCGAGCCATGTTCTCGGCGACACACGCACGACATGCTACTCCATCCCGTAATCGCATCCTTCTCTCGTTCGCTGGGAGAAAAAACTAGGGTGTGGAAGAAAGAACGGCTTTCACTTCAACTCGACACCCGAAAATTCAGCTGAATGCACAATAGTCGACCAACGCAGTGGTGCGCGTCAAATAACGCAACAACGTGTTTTCTTTCACGACGACAAAAAACTTAGCAAGCAGCTAAGGTGCGCTGGCGGGCAGGACGGGGGGAGGCGGGGTTGCGCGCATATATTTTCTTCTAATGCATGATGGTACTATACTACGCCCCGCCGGCATGGACGCCGCAACATCTCCACCGCTTAAAACCACTCCGACTTTCTCGAGAGGGTTGGTCCTTGGCGATCCTTACTATCGTATGTTCTGCAGATACAGAATGGCCGATTGATTGGCTCGTCACCGGCCTCTCTGACGGCTCAAGAAAAACACTGGTCTAAGCTCCGGGGGGAAACGTGCGCAGTGCGGTGGCAGCAGTTTTAGTACAAGAAGTACGCGTGGTGTGTTCACCGGGCCACTGAAGGCAAATTGACTTCCCCCGTCACGACTATCGTTTCGACGACACGCGATCACTTGGGGAGTCGGGGTACTTCCAAGGTGAAACAACAAGCGTCGCCCATTGCTTTTCTCGCCTGATCGATGGCCTTCCCTGCTGCACTCGCCCGCCATTTGGCGCTGAACTCCTTGGGAGTGACAGGAGAAGGCTCTCCAGTCTCAACGTCGGCTGAACGGTAGCTGGCCCCCGCTTCCCCGGTCAGCTCGACGAGCCAGTCGGCCGTGTCCTTGCGGGCGGGGCAGGTGATCCTAAGGCGGTCCGATTCGATGTGCGTTGGGCGACCGAGTTTTAATCGCGTATGGTGCAAGGGGCGGGCACGTGTAGAAGTGATAAGTATGGACGGAAGCGTGATAATAATGTGTGCGGCTTCCTTGGAGAAAGCGAATAACACCCCCAAGGTTTGCGTTGTACTCCGTATGAGAATCATTTCATCCCCTTTTGCTTCTTGACGTAAGCGAGCCAGTGGAGAGTTTCATAGGACGGGTGGGAAGGGCGGGAGACGCGGTTGTGAGATAGGGCAAGGTAGGTTCTCCTCATTCACAATAGCATCACGCGCGTGCACCGGTCGTCGGAACCATGTGCAGCCCGGACGACATGCGTTTATCCCTCACCCAAGGTTGTTAAAGTATGGCACGACATCCTCACGCGGGCCGTGGTAGATGATCTTCCCCTCCGCCATGAGGATGATGTTGTCGAACAGCTCGTACGTCTGAGGACCCACGCGGCGGGGGTTTGCGGACAGAACAACAGCAAGCACAAAACGGCCAGTGCGCTTCAGAATGCGCCTAGCCCATCAGGCTAAACTGTGACAACGGAACTACTGTAGGCATAGTTTCGCACAGTGGTTTCAGCCTTTTCGACAAAAGCAGAGGCCTACACAGAAGGTGTAAGTTGTTAGTACAAAAGATGCTTAACGTGAGCATCACCACATTAACACAACAGAAGCAGCAGCCGGGTGCTGCCGCGTGGGCGGGTTTTGCTTAGCGAGCGAAAAAGTAGATGGCCAACAATCGATGTGGTTCCTGTATCGCTTGTGTCAGTCAGCCGATCAACGGTAAGCTGTTTAATTTGTGCTCTTCTTGGTGTCGCGCGGATCTTGGTGTCTTGCAGAGAGACCACGCGCCGGGGGGGGGGGGGTTGGAGGGGGGGTGTTGACCCTGGGCAGCAGCTTCTGGCTCTCTCCAAGGCGTTGTCCGTGCCCGTACCGAAGACCTACTTAAATTCATGCCAAAATCGTGGGAGGAGGAAAGAAGAAGAGGAACCTGCCTGCGACGACGACCTCTATAACTTGTTCTTAAAATAACAAAGCGCGGGTATGATATTTCCGACTGAGCAACGGATCCCGAATTTTGCCGGGAGTCACAAGCATCTGAACACGTACCACGTCATCCGATTCCCTTGCATGCCACACAGGTTTCCAACTTTTCATGTATTTTTGAGACAAGCGGGGGGGCGGGGGGCACCTTACCTCGGGCGGCGGCTGCAGCAGAGCGACAACCGCGGTGTTGTGAAAGGTGCGCGCCGATGACTGCGGCGGGCACAGGTGCGGACGGTGTCGTGGGTGTTGCGTGAGGGGCGGTAAAGTGAAGCGACGAACCAATCAGAGCGACGACCACCAACGCGATGAGCGGACAGGAAAATGCAAAAAAAGGGTAAATAAAGCAATGAAGGGTGCGTGAAGAAATATGTGCAAGCATTTTCAATACTCGTGGCGACGGAAGCAATCTGGTGAACACCTGTGCTGTCGAGGTTTTTGACACCTTTGACGCTTTTGCAGGTCTTTAGTGTCGCTCGAGCGATGGTACCTGCAGTACTCGAAATGGGTGTCCGACGGACGAAATATATCATCGTGACAGCCAGTCAGGAAACCCTATGCAAACAATAATCCTGACTCGGAGATCGGCAACCACAACAAAGAACAATTTGCACTCATGAACGCAGGAGTGTACGAGGTCCAAATGTTCGTGACACTTGATTATGCGACGCTCTCATATCTTGGACGACCTCTCGAGTGAACCAAGTGACTTGACCAGGACACCACCTTCAAGCTGGCAAATGATAACGCACGGGAACCAGTGCACCGACGGAAATAACGATAAAATGGTGGACGTCATTCCTAAAACCGGACTCGAAACCTCGAGATACAAATCAACAACACACGTCGGTGGTTGGCTGTGATTCTATAGATCTACACCTTGAGCGAAGTCATGATGTCGAAAGTGGTGCTGCTGTCGAGGCCGGTGGAGATGCTGTCCAGGAGAAACACCGCCTGAGGTCCACATATCATCTCGCCTGGCGAACGGGCGTGCCCGAGCGGCGTTAATACCAACGCCAACACGCGGGAACAATATGAACGACGGCATCATTGCCTACAGTAGTTCCAGAGCACTCGAGAAAGTTGTACACTTCGAAACGACAGCAAAATGCAAGATACACACAACGACGAGGAACCACTTCAGCACAATCAGCACATAGATACGCGATATATCGCGGAGGATAGCGTTTTTTCTGCTCATACGTTAATATTTCTGAGGTCCAAGAGAATCGACTGACCAGCGACTACCTGCACAAAACAAAATCGTTGGACTACCACTGCTGTCGTTCGCTCACCCATGGTGACACGCCTACGCTCTCCGCCGCTCACGCCACGGACGCTGTTGTTGCCGACGATCGTGTCCTTTGCGTTGTAGAGCCCCAGGTTCCTCAAGACCATCTCCACCTGGGGACATAGAGGGGGTGCAACAAACGACAGAACGCCATCGCTAGAAGCTTGCACGAGACAGAGGCACGCAGTGACGGACTTTTATCGAGACTCGGACAAATGCGGAAAGGAGAGGGTGAGAAACAGGCAAGCAGGCGCCCGTTTTAGAAGCAGATGCAGTACCTCCAGCAGTCCATTCCCGTACTGCACCTTGAAGTTGTTCTCGTCCATCCAAGCGAACAACGATTTTTGTTCTTCAGTGGCGGTGGAACCCTCCGGAAAATTCAGCCCGTGACTCGCGCCAGCCATGCTGTTGAAGGCGAACGTGAAGGTCTCGTTTACGGTCATGGTAGGGATATGACGGTCGGCCTGAGAGAGGGAGAGAGAGAGAGAGAGAGAGAGAGAGAGAGAGAGAGAGAGAGAGAGAGAGAGAGAGGAAGAGAGAGAGAAAAAGAAAAGAAAAAAGGGACATACCCGGGACAAACGAGGTCAAATTTCACCGTTCTGGTCCTCAATTCCTACAAATTTGTACTCTTGCCATCAGACAAAATACATGTTCTCATGCAAAGCAAAATGTTAATTTTCGTGAAAGACTAACCCAGTTTCGTGTCGAGCTCGTTGAAAACCTATCCCAGAACAATCAACACTAGCTCTAAATGCCGTCGTGTGGCCACGGCGTTTCGCTCGTCTACCCGCGCAAGACGAATTTTTTCAGCTTGCAGCAACAACAACAACCCTAACCCAGGCACCTGTTCCGCGAAGTGCGCCACCTTAGGAAGAGAAAAGTTTCCACTGTCCTTTGTGTCACCATTGTAGGTCATGCGACCCTCGACAACGTGTCCTTTGTCCTCCTTTAGAAGGCCCGCCACCGCCTTGAGGAGAGTCGACTGCTTTGATCCCGACAGTTGCGGTTAGACGGAAGGATACGAGCTGTCAGCGAAAGAGATCACACATCCGTTTACGTTTTTTTGCTCTCGCGCCCGTGCGTTGCTTCGCCACAAAACTTCTTGAAAAAACGTTTGATACGGACAAGTTGCGGCTCTCGGAAAGGCAACAACAGCACAAGCCCACGACCCCAGTCCACATGCCGCGGCGATCCGACCCGGTTGTATGAACCAAAATGTACAACATGTCACTATCTGTGTCGAACGCCACCATCTGATCCGGGGGTACATGTACCTGTACTCACTACCACGGCTTTCCTGTAGAGCTACTGTCGTCGGTGCCGACAGTGGGTCGTATACGTATATGGGCAATATATGGGACCTCTCACGAGACCTCCCATAGGAGGCGTGAGACGAGAGCTCAAAGGCACTCACGAGCGCGTATCACATGTCGTCAGAAGCCACGAGAGGCCCATGAGAGGTCATGAGAGGTCACCCAGCGCCCGTCAGACGTCACAAGGGCTTATGAGAGCCCACGAGAGCCCATCAAATAGCATAAGATATCACGAGAGCCTATAGGACCTCATGAGATGTCATGAGAGCCCATGAGAGGTCAAGAACGCCTGTGAGAGATTACAAGCGCTTATGAGCTTATGAGAGCCCACGAGATGTCATGTGGTATCACGAGAGCTTATGAGAGCTATTGAGATGTCATGAGAAGTCAAGAGCGCCCGTGAGAGGTCCCGAGAGTCACGAGTGCCCACGACATGTCTTGATAGGTTGCGAGAGGCCATGAGATGTCGTCGTGAGAGGTCGCGAGAGCCCATGAGAGCCTATGACACTCATGGGAGGTCTCATGGGACCTCCTATGCTTTTGGGCAAATAGTGTAAATGATACCCGAAAGTGACTGCAAGCTGCCGTCGATCGCCGCGACCTCGACGACGCCTACAACGGGCTGCGAAAATACTTGAGGGGCTATGGCTCAGAGTGCACTCGAAAGCCGGCACAAACGGTCTTGAAATCACTGAATTGCCTCATCGTGAGGTCACCGATAAGGTACAAACCTTCCGACGAGGATCCCAAACCACCCCACATATATAAAAAAAAGTGAGGGATACCACCCGGGAGGGTGCCGATGCTGGCTTAACTACCTCGGTGGTGTGGTGTGTCTGTCTGCTCACCTTGCCACAGCCCGGGGGGCCGAGAACTAGCGTTGTTGATGAAGGTTTGAACACGGCATTGACATCATCCAGGATGGTCTTGGCCTCCATTTCCTGTGCCAAGCAAGGCAGACACGCGTTCACAATATCTCGGGTTCGGCACAGGTTGTTGGTGTCGTCACATTAAAAACGGTTCCCATCTCTCTGCCCAAGTACCGTCATCTGTCGTTGCTGACCCACACATGATGCGGTTGTGCGTGGTGAAAAAACATCTTGGCGCCAAGGAACTGGGGATTTTCTTTCAATCGGTTGATATGGCTTTGGGGCTTGAGAATGAGGTTCGAAGGAGTTGTTGTCAGCAATGACGAATCATCAACATCGTGGACCCTGTAAGAACGAAAGACGTTACTAAAGCAGATTTTTGTATTCGAGCTACTTTGACGCATTTAGAAGTGAGGGAAAGCGTGGAAAATATATGAACATTTGGTGTTTTATGCGTCGATCGAGGGCAAGAGGAAGAGTCATGGGCAATCTGAAGGTCAAACATGCGGATGAGCAGGTCATGTGTCCATGCATACCTTCCCGAGCATGTATGTTTGGTAGCAGGGGATGCATACGAGGCACTTTCCGCAGGCCATTATTTCGTCGCCAACGGTGGGCTCATCGGTCGTGCCCTTTTCCCGCTGGACGCTGAAGCTCAGGCCCTTTACTCGTACTTCGCACCCCACGCCTACAGAATAGGGTAGCTCCTCCGCGATCTGTTCGAACTTCTCCTGCAACGGAGAAGGGAGGGAAGAGAAGAGACGACATGCAGGCCTTGATAAAATGGACGGCCCGTTTGTGTGCACTTATTTACATACGCAACGTGGTGAGGCTCCTGCAACAGATGAACAACACCCGCAAATTCTTGTGGGCATCTTCGTGTTCAGAACGGCAACTCGTTCGGCACTATCGTGCCGTTCACAACGTCGTCGAGCCTTCTAAACGCTCCAGCCTTTTTCGTTCAAATATGCCATACGACAAAGGCACGCGGCGCTGTCGTACTGTAGAGGAATCCACACGCGCTCGACAAGGGCTGTACGCCGTTTATAGATGGCACGGCAGCCTACTTGGATTGTTTTCTAGATGACTGTCTGCGCCCCACCTTGCTCGAGGCCGACGTGCCCGAGATGAAGTTGCTTCCTTGCGCGAGGATTCCTGCCGCTTGGAAAGAGGTGGAAGGCATGCCGCCCTCCTTCACTTCTTCCTCGAGGCCCTGCACGCTAGCAGTCCCCGGCGCCTCGGGGTCGACCTGGTCCGAAAGAGCAACCTTCAGCGATGCCGAATCCTGGTCGATCGAATTTGTTTGTATATGGCGAGGAAACCAAGGAGACACGGGATCGGTGGGTACTACTACTGCTGCTGATCTACGGGTCGATTGAGTAAAGTCAATGAGATCGAAAGACAGCACTCCGAGTCGAGGGAAGTCTCTTGCCGTTCACGAGTATTCAGTTTCGGCCCTAGCCGTGTTCCAGAAAGACACAGGAGCAATGTACCGGTACTACCTAAAGAAATTCCCAGGGATGAACCTTGCCCGAACAATTAGAGGGGTTTCAGTTCATACCTTGCATGTCCTGGGCACATGCATGTATCGAAACTACAACAGCAGCAGAAAAGTTGGGAAACCTCAATACTGGCGCCTATGGACGAAGGCTTGTGTATCGGAGCCATAACACGCGCAAGTTGGTAGAGATGCAGCAATGTGAAACTTAATCTTCGTACTTGTAGCAGACCTTCTAGCTAAGACCACGTTCTTGTGCGAGAGACCTACCTCACTGACAACGAGCTTTGGGCGAGAGGGACAGACAGAGCACTAAAAACAAAGCTTTCCACAGCATGGCAACAACCACAAGAACGTCTATCTCACACTAACGCAGTTACCGTGGGGAGATGGTAGCCGTGGGTCTTGAGCACATCTGCCAACCGCCCGATTACACCTTTTTGCTCGGTTATGACGTTCTCCTGCTCAAGGGCGCGCCGCTTGTAGTATTCCCAATCGCCACGGTGGGCGCTTGTATCCTAGGAAGTAAGCAGTACAGATGACAAACACCCGGATACATCGTAGGAGGCAAGGGAGAACACACAGGTACAGTGCCAGTAGTTGTCCCACATTTTTTGGGGCAGGGTAATAATAAAAAAAGGATTGTCAAAAGAATTGGACGACAAACAAATTGGAAAGCTCTAGCCAGCAGCGTTCGAATAAGCCTTTCAAAATGAGGGGGCTCGCTCTGGATAAAAGTTATGGGCCTATTACCACCGCCACCGAAGGTACTTCACCCTACTAAATCCTCCATATCTCGACAACTACGGCGAACCCCCCAAACAAAAATGCAGATAATTGAAGCTCTCTCTCGGTACTATTTTATGGCTTCGGTTCCATTTCCGAACCTTTTTGACAATGATGGTTTCGTGGTGTCATATTAAGAAAAAAAAAAGAAAAATTGCACCCCGTATTCTGGAAAAAAAATAATAATAACCCCCAACAGCATAGCTAAAAAAAAATGGCGATCGATCGTGTAATTGAGATAACTCAACGTGTGCTTCGCCGATTCTCGAAACAACATCGGTGAAATGCTCGTACGCTCTCGCTCTATGGAAGTCATATTTCCCAATCACATTTAACGTCTTGTTCACGGACGAGTGGACAAAGGATGTGCCCAGTCCAGACCCCAAATTAGAGTGGATAACACTATTGGGTCTTGTCTTTTTGCTGTCTTCATGGTGCTCCATGGTGCACCATGAAAACATTTTCATGGTAGTCCATGGTGCTCCATGGAGCACCCAAACTTTTGTCCATGGTGCACCATGAACATTCCCATGATCATGCCCACGTCTTTGTCCATGGTGCTCCATGGTGCTCCATGAAAATAACTAAAAGAAAATTTAACAATTCAAGTGCTCCATGGTGCTCCATGGTGCTTCATGAACATGTTCACGGCGTGACCCAATAATGTCACCCCCCCCCAAATTAAGGGTTCAAGTCTAGGTGTCGTCGCTTTTTTTCCCGTCACTTTTTTTTCACTTGAAAAATGTACTTGTATTTTTTTCCGACCAAAAACAAGTATATCGTCTGTATCGTCTGCCCAAACTCGGAAATTACTGATTCACTTGAGTTTGTATAGATCAAATAAATTCTACACTGTCTTCTACACAGTCCCGTTCACAGTCTCGTTTCCGACCCCAACAGATCCAATCTTGTGCGCGATCTCATGGGCGTCATGGGGATGATTTTTTTTTTTCATTGGACCCCCGAGTCAAAAGTTATGGCCGGTCAACTGAAACCGGCGGGACAACTACTGGCACTGTACGACTCAAAGACGAGTTGTCCAGAACTGGCTCCGCATAAAGAGCAGAACGTGATGCGGCAAACCGAAGAGACGGAAGTTGTACCTACATATAGCTGCCACGTGACCCAAGAAGCAGACGGCCAAAAACTCGGGAAATGAAAACGCGCAGCCTCAGGCTGGTTGTAGTCAACAAAACAAGTGAGCATACGCGGAACAGCGTGCGTATATACATACAAATTCTGCAGGCTGCTGTGCCTCAATACCTATACAGCAGTAGGTACGCTGCATGCCCTTTCGAGAATGCACCCGCGGGAGAATCGGACATTTCTCAAAGGTACTGAACTACATCTATCTTCTCGAGAGGGATGGGATCTTTCCATCGAAAGTAAAACGCCCGGGGCGAAAAGCCGATAAACATCATCAACACATGCACACGCGCAAGGCCGCACACAACAACCACCTGCTCCGATCTGTATGCCGTCAAAGTGTAGCTCGCTACAACAGTAGATGAGTTTGGGGTTTGGGGAGTTGCGCGGCATGCTACGGACCAGCTCGGCGCGCCAACTTGTCCAACTCTGAACCACCAGGACCAAAACTCGGTTAATTTTTTTGGGCTCAAGTTTTCCGATCACCTCCGGGCGGGGAAAACCACAGCGTAGCTAGATGCGTGCTTGCACCCGACAACACTCTGTAGCAGAGGTTGTTGTTGCCGGCGGCATTTCTCACGGTGCTTCCTCTGTACCCTTGTGTGCTTGCTCATTGTCTCCAATATCGTGAGGTCCGCAAGTATAAGGGTGTGAGGTTTGGCAACAGAACATATCCGGCCTCCTCTGTGTATGTAGTCTAGTTTGCGCCCCCCTTTTTTTTTTTTGTCTTCTTCACTTCAAATCAGCGCTCACAGCAATAGTGCCGTTTATATACTCCAACCCGTGGTCACACAGAGGAGCCCCTCTCTACCCTCCCCTCCTGCGGTACTTTGCCTTCGATTTTTAATTCGAGAAGAGTTCAGCACTCTCTTCCTTCTGTGTACACACGAACTAGCGCTATCCACTAGGCCAGGAGCGGAAGCGAGAGAAAAACTCACTTTGCGAGAAAAGCTCGCTTACGCCGGGATTCGAACCCCTATCACCTGACCTACCTCTGGAAGGGTTCGAGGATACCAACTAGACCACCGGGGCGACCGGCTAAATTGTCTTTGGATGAAGCCGTCTCCACTGAATCTTCCAACCGCTGACAGCAAACCCGCCTTTGCAGCGGTGACTCAGGGTAAGGGTTTGGGTTCAAGTTTGGTGAGGTGCATGCTTTGTAGTTAGCGAAGGGAGCTTGGATTTGTGCCTTCGATACATGTAGACTATGTGAGCTATTACATGTATAACAAGCAACCGACATCACGCACAAAATGGTTGCGACGCTGCTGTTCCATAAACACCTTCTCGAAATAGTCAGGGGGCATGCGCGTTTGTGCTCGTACCAGAAAGTTGGTGCCCTGACTCTGCACTTCGACACTTGTCTCATCAGTGGAAACCTTCTGCTCCATCTTCCTTTCTCCCTTGCCGTTGGGTGGGTGTGGTCGAAAAGTTCTCATGAGAAAAAAAAAAGTTCACTGGGGTGGGCGGATGCGAACAGACCAATGCCAGCTGCCGAACAGCCGCCACGCTGCCAGATGCATGTATGTGCCATGCAGCTTTTTCGTGTTGAAGTATGATCCAGCCATATTCTGTAAGCTACCCGAGCAGGCTCAGTCTTTCAACTGTCCGAGCAGATTCAGTCTCTCTTCTCTCTCTCTCCTTCTCTTCTTTCTCTCTCTGGTGGGTGCGCGATGTCCGCGGAAGATGCCTGGTGGCAAGAGATCGAATTGTTCGAAAGTGACTTCGTGCCGGCCACCTTCACCCCGGGCGAGAGCGTGGAGGCCAACCACGCCCTACTCCGTGCGTTTCGAGAGCAAGACTTCGACATAAGAGACCTCAATTATGGTAAGTCATAAGGTGGGCTCCTCGACAGGATAGAATACCCTATTGTTCTTTGATTCTGTGGGCTGCTTGGGGCCGCAGTCTCTTTACGAGCCATATTTCATTCCTGGAAGCTTCCCGCATGCACCGGCGTCAAGGTAGGGTCAGATTGGCGATGCGAAAGACACACCCTCCTATTGTAATGCTCCCTCGTGCTTCGTTGATTTTTTGTTGATGTGTAAGATTGAACGAAGGAAATCTGGGGTTTGTGGCGCGGGACTGAATCGTACAGTGGCAAGGTAGGCAAGAAGTTTCATCGGGAGATTGGATGAGCATGGTGGTGATGACGTATTGGAGTACAACGTTGAGCAGCTGCAGCAAGAAGCAATAAGAAGAGTGCACACTGCAGCCGCTCCTGTGAGACGAAGGGACGATCTGCCGTAGAGGTCATCGCGTGTGTGTTAGGTAAAGGTCGGGAGTGGGCTTCGGCTAGGTGATTGGCCGGAAAACCCTCCCGCCCTCCCTCCCGGGTTTTCGTGAAGGGGTAGCGAGATGAGGTGTGACAGCCTGCCTAGGTTTACGTCTGTGTGTGGTGTATGGATGAGGAACCCGGGCAAGATTTGGCGTGGGGTACGCCCGGGTGACGTGATGAAGTCGTGGGGGTCCACGACTCAAATAATAATAATAACTCCAGATTCATGAGCATAACAAGTTGTTGATTTGATCCCACCATCACGACAGACAGCATTGCTCACAACATATACAACACATACATGGATACACTTCGACCCTAGGGGCAAGTAGCGCTACATAGATCTAGACTCGACGTTTCCCCCAAAAAGTCAGCTGCTTTATTTATTGTTTTTCTTTCGAACTGCCGTTTTTATTAGACGGTTGTCTCCAGGTTCGCGTGTGAGCAAGTTCCCTTTGTTGTGATGTGTGGTGTGGATACACACCAGTTCAACCTCTGGTGGAGAAGAGGCTGACGAGTACGGCCTTGTGTTGAAGCAATCCTACACTGACTCTATCTGTGGCAACACCCCGAAGGTAGATCTCCAACAGGTCATCTGACATCACAATCTACGACAGTCTGAGGTGGCATTCACAGGACCCCCCTATCTTCAATCTCGGGACCTGAATCCGGATTGAAAGATACAAGAATGACATAAATACTCCAGAGTGTTGTATGAAATTGTGAAGTACTGATGAACAACACGAGTTAAATGACTTCGGCCGTAACGTACGGCAACTGCCATCATTCAACGAATGCTTTGTGTTTTGTAGTTATAAACTTGGAACGTGTCACCAAAATAGCTCATCCGAGCCTCAATCGTACATAGTGCAGTCATAACCACAGCTTGCACGAGAGCAATTCAGGAATTTTGGCAACTATTCCCGTACGACGAACGAATAAGTACACAGATGACGAAAAGTGTACGGAACATGTCACTTCAGTCCGCCCCGGCGCTGTAGGTAACACGTGATCTACCGTACGAACGAACGACGTGTGTACAGAAAAAAACATCACTTCGGTCAACTTCGGTGCGCGTCTTGCCCGATAGTGTAAAAAACTGTACAAGTAGTACCTTGAGACAACGCCGTGAACTATTTTAATTAAGGAATAATAAAAAAACACACAGAAAGACTACCCATTCGAGATATATCCACAGTCGAACGGGATGTGGTGGAGTCTTTTCAGTGAGTGGAGGGAAACCGGCTGGGTACTGGACTTATTTCGAGTATTTTTAAGTCTATACACTGACTGATGATTTATAGCAGTGATGCCAGCTGGTGCCAAGTACAAAAACATGTTTGTCGGCCGTACTCCGCGTACTTATCGGGTATTGTTTGTGTAGTGTATTAACTTCAGACGGTGAGGCAACGCCCGTACCCAGGGCACTGTCGTGCTCAGAAAGGAGGAGTGGCAGCAGGGCTGCTGCACACAACAAAAGGGGGCCCCGGTGCGTCATCACCGTACCCCTACCTAAAAGGTTCTACACCATCTGCGTCACACTTGTACGTACGGCTAACATATCCAAACCATGTCCGTAGACCCACGAACACCCTCCCTGGTTCTTCACGCAAGTGACTAACCATCAGTGGGGCAAAAACACCCCGCATACATCAATAAAATGCCAATACGGTGGTCGAGGGGAAAACCCGGCGCCCGGGCAAAACCCCTCGAAAATAAACCACATCCAACACAAACCATTGCAATCACGGCGGATCACAACGGCCGCACTTATCAGGAAGGCCAAGGCGAAGACAAGAATGCGAGGCAAGCCTCCTACTCCTGCCAATGGGACACAGCCCGCGACAGTAATGCATCTTTCCCCGCATGGTATACATGACCTTCCCCAAGCGCTAAAAAATCCTACAGAAGCTCCGGCAAATTCATCAGCTTTTTCCGGTGGTACTGCAGGTTGCTCTTGCTAAGAGCCTTGGTGAGCATGTCTGCATGTTGCTCCGACGTCGACACAAACTTGATCGAGATGTCACCCGACCTAAACAATCCACGAATGAAGTGGTACCGCACGTCGATGTGCTTGCTACGCGCTGAGCTAAGGGGGTTCTGCACCAAGGCCATGGCCCCCTGATTGTCCTCAAGGACCTGAATGCTACCGCCACTGGTCTCTGGGGCAATAAACGAGAGCACTGCACGCACAAACAAAGCTTCTTTCACACCCTCTCCGGCAGCAATGTACTCTGCCTCCGTAGACGACAAAGATACGATAGCTTGCGTCTTGCTACCGTGGCTGATGACGGTTCCTCCAACCGTTGTTGCCAGCCCTGACACCGAACGTCTATCCTCAGCGTCGGCGTAGCTAGCGTCCACGTACACCGCCAGCCCCAGCCCCGATCCCCGTTTATAGGTGATCCCGAGGTCCCTCGTCTCTTTGAGGTAGGCGAGGATCTTCCGTATCGCCTTCCAGTGCCTCTCGGCAGGGGCATGGGCGTGGCGCGCTACCGCACGCACAGCGAACGAGATGTCCGGGCGCGAGAACGTCGACACCCACATCATGCTGCCGATGGCCTCCCTCACCGGCCACTCCCCTGCACTTTCGTCATCTAGCTTCGGCCCTATGGGGGATTCTGTACTCAGCTCGGTCGACGCCAGGGCCCTCACGAAGGCGTATGGAGAGTTGAGCACGAGGTCCTCCGCTCCCAGCAGGAAGTCCTCGGCCTCTTGGCGCGCGATGTTGGCCTCCTCCGCGCGCTCGCACAGCAGCGCTTGCATCGCCCTCGCCTCTAGCCCTTCCACCACGTCGACCACACACGCGAGCATCCAGTGGGTGTACTCCTCCGTGCTGTTGATGGGCAGGGTGGGCAGCCCGGCCGCCGATGCATGGCGGGCGAGCAGACCTTCGGCACTCGTTGACGACTCGTACCTCGTGTTCCGGCGAGGGTTCTCCCTGAGTCGGCGGCTGGTGAGTTCGGCCGGCTCGCCAAAGCGGGCGAGCCTCCGTTCCTCGGGCCCGCGGAGCGCCGGAATATCCGTGTCGCTGCCGCTGTCGCTGCCGCCACCGCTGCTGCTGCTGCTGCTGCGGTCGTCCTCGCCGCCGCCCACATCGGCCATCCCGGTCGACGTGGTAGATGGGGCGACGCTCGCGCCCTCCCTGCTCGAGGGGGCGCCATCGCCAGCGTCGCCCGCGCCCGACTCCTGGGGCGCGGCCGGCGGTGCCGCCGGCGCATCGCGCGCAGGCGGCTCCGCGGGCCCCGGGTTTGCCGTCGTGTCAAGGTGGAAACCTCCATCCTCAGGTTCTCCCTCCGCCCTCCCTCCACCGTGGCATGACGCACCCCCCCCGCCCTCGTGCTCCCCAGTCGTGAGCTCCTCGTCCTCCTCTGCAATGGGAGGCAGCGGCTGGGGGTGCGCGGTCGGGGCGGCGGGCACAGATTGCCAGGTGAAGTTGCGAGTGGTGATCGCTTGGCGTTTTTCGTTCAGGATGCGCACGCAATCACGGTTTGTGTTGATGCCAGGGCCGAGGTAAAAACACTTTTTTGCTTTCGGCTCTGACTTGTGCGTGCGCTTGACCTTGTATACGGCGGGTTTGAGGAACGGTTACGTCGCCTCTGGGGGAGGTGGGTGCCCGTGCCACATTTCGTACGGCGATTTCTTGTCCGGGTTGGATGTGGTAGAGGTGCAGTTCAGGGCGTTGCATGCCCAAGCTGTGGCTTCGGCCCAAAGGGAGGGGTAGCTTGGTGCTTCGGGGTAAAGAATCGGCGCTTGTATGCGGGCGGCTAGTGCTGCATCCTTTATCAGTCCCAGTGCTCTCTCAGCTACACCGTTGTATTCTGGGCTGTATGCGGGGGTGAACTCCTGCTTGATGCAATACTTGCGGCACAGCTTTCCGAACTCTCCCTCGAAAAACTCTCCTCCGTTGTCAGACCGCACGACCATGACCTCGGATGGGGCTCCGTCTGCCCTGTTTTCCGCTAGATATCTCCCGAATGCCTCTGCAGCGTCTGACTTGTTTTTCAAGAAGTAGACGCGGTTCCACCTCGTTCAGTCATCCCTTACAATGAGAGTGTACCACTTCCCCCCCAAGCTCTGCACCCTTGCCTTCCCACTCAAATCCACGAAAACTCTCTGTAGTTTCTTAACTGCTCGGGTTGACGTCCTGTTGGGGATGGGCTTGGATAGCCCCTTTGCCGTCGAGCACCCCATGCACTCCCGGAGCTGGCCCACCAGCGTCACCCCTTGCTGCTTCGCCGTGTTCTTCAGCAGCATCCCGTGGGAGTGGCCGTGCGCGCAGTGGAAGTCGTTGACGTCAACGGGGGTGCGGTTCGCTTTCGCGTTACCAGGAGCAATTATGGCACAGGCTAGTTCCCTACCCGACTCTATGCGGTGACCAGTCTGAACGAACAGGTCCCCCCATAGAGGGAAGTACACCGACTCCCCCCCACCAACGAACACCTCCAACTCGTGCTCGTCTGCGGCTAAGCGGCCCTTGGTTTGTTTCAAGAGGGCTGTGAGGGACACGAGGTTGTAGTTGAGCTCCGGCACATGAGCGACCCGTTTCAACAACAGGTCTGTGGTCCCAACGCGAGAACCGATGGTCACCCTCACGTCGCCATACCCTACGATGGCGAAGGCTTGCTTCCCTGCGGCGACACTCAAACGTCGATCGCACTCATGGTAGTTGTCGAACGCGTTAGCGCTCGGGAACATGTGGTTGGTTGCGCCGGTATCGGCCACAAACCTTTCCTGCCTGGCCTGCTCTACACCCCCTCGATCAACGACTCTGTTCCACTCGCCTGTGAAGTCGCGGACCACTAGCGCCTCCTCTGCCACGTCCAGTGCGGTGGCGTCCAAGACCGGCAGCTCCACCGCGAGCACCGCCTGCTCGGACGAGCACGTGCTCTTGTCGTGTCCGTAGCCCAGGCACTTCTCGCATCGCAGGGGCTCGGGCTTGGTACAGGCGGCCGCCTGGTGACCCTTTTCTCCGCACCGGAAGCAGCGGCCGTGCATGCTACTTGCACCGCCGCCGCCGCCTCCGCCGCTGTTGCCACCACCACCGCCCCCACCGCCCTTGCTGCCACCCCCTTTCCCCTTCTGGCCGCCACCACCGCCGCCGCCACCCTTGTTGCGGCCGCCGCTGCTGCGGCCGGGCGCTCGAGCCCTGCTGTTACCGTCGCTCGCGAGGAAAGCATGCTCCGCCTTGTGCTGGCCCTTCGGGGCCTTCCTCCCCTCCGGGAGGCTCGCGTGCACCGTGCTTACGATCCTGACGATCTCGCCCCTGTCCAGCTTTGTCGCCGTCTCCAACAGGAACTTCGCTTGTTGGTACTCGGGTGGAAGCGAGTCGACGAAGTGTGCGAGGACGAATGATGTGTCAGCGTTGAGCCCCTTTTCGCGTAGGCGCATGTATATCTGCTCGAGCTTGCTTAGGTGCTCGATTGGATTGCTGCTGCTGTGTGCCGGGATCGAGAAGCGGAACATCTCTTTCATCAGGGCTTGTTTGGATCCCTGCGACTGAGGTCTCTTCCCCCAGCCCTTCGACCGAACCGCTGTCCGACACAGCCATCTCCCGATGCGGCTATCCCTCGAGGGCCAAAGAACTCTAGAGTGTTTGTCGGCCGTACTCCGCGTACTTATCGGGTATTGTTTGTGTAGTGTATTAACTTCAGACGGTGAGGCAACGCCCGTACCCAGGGCGCTGTCGTGCTCAGAAAGGAGGAGTGGCAGCAGGGCTGCTGCACACAACAAAAGGGGGCCCCGGTGCATCATCACCGTACCCCTACCTAAAAGGTTCTACACCATCTGCGTCACACTTGTACGTACGGCTAACATATCCAAACCATGTCCGTAGACCCACGAACAAAACATATGTATAGGTAACTTACATTTTACAATACATCCCCTGTAGTTCTCTACTGGGTCAACGACAAAATATCGGGGAGAATCCTTCCGTTGTGTCGTGTATTGTAAAATGTAACCTTCACAGGGGACACGGCGCAGTGTCTATTGACAGCTTGCTGGTTTATTACACATACTAGGAATAATATTGTAAAAATCATGGAGGTGGAACGAAGTCTACAACAGTACATCACTCGTATTTTGTAGTTGCACGTAACGAACATCCAGAAACGAAAAATATTTTGGCATTGCACCTGTGAAAAACGATCGCTTGCAAGGTTTAAATCACAAGTGTCGAATGACAAATGACGTGGGTCGACCTGCTGGGAAAACGTTGCTCAAACGATATGCAGCGGCAACAACGAACGAACATATGTGCACAGCTCATGGAGAGCTAACGATACGACCTTTTCATGCGATCACGCAAATGAGAGGCGCTGCATAGACGAACGACGACGAATGGTGATTACGAGTACAGCACACGATGTGCTGTATAGCATGGATTTGACGCAGTAGTGGGACGAAGGTCTGGTCCTCTTGTGCTTCCTCTTGCACGGCCAAGACACCATCTACTCTTTCGCAGTGTACGACACGCGAGAAACGATGTGCGGATAACGAAAGGTGTACGGAACATGTCACTTCAGTCCGCCTCAGCGCTGTAGGCAACATGTGATGTACCGTACGGACGAACGGCACGGGATAAAAATCCACCGCACGAAATGACTAGACAAAATCGGAGTGCGCGGTGGCGTTTCGATACACGTTGTTTCCCCTCAAACCCTACAACTCCTACTGTAACCCTAACTCATAACCCATTGGTAAGTAAGGTGGCAGGTTGTTGTTTTGTGGTCAACCTAGGCCGGCCGCGGTTACGCCGCCGCGGAAAGCTTACATAGGCCTAGGTCGGACCTGGTTAGGCCTACGTTTGAGCCTGGTAGAAGACCTAGGTCGTTCTCAGTACGGTGCTAGGTTGCTGTTTCGTGGTCAGCCTACGCCGCGGCTGCGCCGCGCCGCGGCGTGCCGTGGCGAGCAGTGGCACGTGCATTTGGAGCACGCCATGGCACCTGGCACGACACGCCATGACGGGCGTCGTGGCCTTATTCCGCAACGGTACAGATTTGTCTGGTTGCGTGCGACGGCGCGCGTCGTGGTGTGCCGCGGCAGCATCCCAATGATGTGCAACAGTGAAACACCCTAGGAGTCTAGCTAATGTCAAATGTTTTTTTGGTATGTAAGGAGTAGTATTTTGTTTTGTCTATCGGGGGTTAGACGTTCGCCCTTTCTTGTCGCCACGTTACGCCCCCGTTAACGAAACAACAAATTAAATGATGATCTTGCCCTGGAGACGAAATATGATTCGCACTTCGAGTGGCGTTTCAACGAGATTCTGGCAGAGGACACCAGCCTACAGCAGTAGGCAATATTCTTGCGCTCGAGACGAAAATCAAAAGCAAGCCTAGAGTGAAGTCAGCATTTCGAAGTATGTATATCTGTGTGAGCGATTTCTTAGGTCATCACTGAAAAGACGGATATAGTACAGTTTGTAGTGGTATGCACGCGTGATGAAGTCTGGTTGACCCGTGAAGAAGAACTCACTTGTTGTTACTCTTGTGGAACAGCAGCAGCAGTAGCTGTTGCCTTGGGTATCGGTAGGAATGACACCAAGGGGCACAGGATCCTCTGCACAAGCAGGGGCTACTAGATCCTGTCCCCTGCTTTTTATCCTTCCGCGGAGAGTTACATCTCTCCGCGCCTTCTAGAAGGAACTAAGCTCGTCTATGTTCCGTCTACACATCTGAATCCTATAACACTAGCCCACCCTGGAGAATCTCATACGCAGATACTGTAAAACCTCGAGGCTTGGCAAGAAATTGTCGAGTCCTTAAATGAACGTATTGAGGATGTGGAGCTCCAAAACAGCACAATTCACCCTCCCACACCTCTCACTCGATGAGTCGCAAGACTATCGTTTGACTCTTAAAACGACAAAAAGACACAGGAAGGAACTGACGGGGCTAAGAAAAGCCTACGACGACCGGAAGAAGGTCGGAACCAAAGAAAGGAGAACACAAAGAAAGGAAGAAAAACAGAAAAGAAAAACAAAGGTCGTCAAAACGACAAAAAAAAAGGATCACTGTAGGAACCACAACAAGACCGGTATCGTAAGAAAACGATAAGATACGTCATTTACGCAGTCGCCACGGCAGTGTAGAAGGGGCAACAATGGGCGCGAAACACCTACAGGTCATGACCAAACGCTGAAGGCACAAAATAAAGCGAGGAGAAAGCGAAAACCAACCAAGGCTAAAAAGCAACCCAAACAACGCTGAAAACAACAGAAAGCCAAGACAACTAGCATGTCGTCTTAATGGGGGCGCGCAACGTTATCAGGCAACGAATCAGTCCCGGGGTCACCACGCGACATGTCGACGTTGCGAAGGATCCCCTTAGAAAGGGCGCTGCCGCTGTGAACTTGGAGGCACCAGGATCCGGAGACGGCGGTTTCAGCGGTGGAGTAGCGAACATCAGGAAGGGCGAGCTTGACAGGGCCAGGATCGTCCAAGAAGCGGACGACGTAGAAGTCGGACGGTAGAGGCGGTCCAGTAATCTTGCCCAACCACCAGAATCCATCGCGAGCTTTGTACCAGAAGAAGGCGCCTGCAGGTAGCGGAGTATTGGCGAAGCGACGGTCCCAAGTTGAACGAGAGACGAGCGAATAACCCGAAGGCAAGGCTCGCTCCCCTTTAGCGCGCGCCATCTCGCGGGTGGCCGCACCAATACGCATCGCCCGATAGCGGCGATTCGTTTGGCGGTGTTGATCAGGCGAACCCGTCCAGTGCCGGAGAATGTGGGTCTTGGAATGCTGGAGGTCCATCTCACGTCCCCAAGAAGGACGAAGAAGACCTTTCCAATGCGTTTGGTATAAAACAGCGATGGTGCCACCACGGCCACGAACAGACTGATGGCCACTAATGCGGTCAACCTCGAGACGTTCGACCGGAGTCGACACGTCGTCTTCCGTAACATGGTAGGGAGGAGATTTATTCGCATGGGAGTTGAGCACATACGGTGTAAGGCCGGCAGGCAGGAACCGAGGCAAGTCTTCAGTGTCATGCGGGTTAGCGCAAGGCTTGCAACGCGCAACCGACACACGGTTTTTCGAGTCCAGACCCGGCAGATCCGATGGAAGATCCAAATACAGTAACTTGGATGCCAGAGGACAACCGTCGGGGGCGTCAGAACACGG